AATCAACAGAGATCCAGCAGCAGCAGCAGAGATCAACACTATCAGGGAGTCTGGAGGAGGAGAAGGAGAGTAAAAGAGAGTCATGAGTAAATGTGTACTAAAATATCAGCACTGCCATACCTGAACATGGCTGACAGAGTTTGCTGATGTCCAGATGTGTGGTCTGGTGGCTGATGGGATTGTTGAGCACACAGCTGTAGCTGTTTTTCTCCTGATATTCCACCTCCAGAGGTAGAGAGAGACTGATGCTGAGATCAGACTCACTGATGCTGGACAATAAACTGTTTCCTTTGTACCAGGAGAGAGTCACATGACCCACATTCACCACTGAACACACCAATGAACAATTCTGCTGCGATGAAGATGATGAAGAACAGTCTCTGTTGATGACAGGAACAGACAGACGAGCTGGAAACATGAGAGAATAGAGAGAAATATGAACAAATCTAACCATGCAATTCACGTGCACGTCATTTTCAGTTCAGTGTGTTGAGTGAATGTTTCTATCGTCTCAAAATATAAACAACTAAACATTTCAATATGTAAACAATTAATAAAAAAATGTAGAGGGCAGGGTTGGTGATCTCTACTCACCATAGACAGAAACATTGAACGTTTTTGATGACAGTTTAGCTGCAAACATCAGTACTTGATATACTCCAGTATGTTCAGTTGTGATGTCTGTGATGATCAGAGATCCAGTTTGATCGTCCAGCTTCAGTCTGTCTCTGAATCTCCCATCAGGAACATCATATGTGGAGAAGATTTGTTTCTTTCTTTTGATTTTAGCTATGAGAGACTTTTCAGCTCCAAATGTCCAAGTTATGTCATCATTAAGTATTTCAGTAAGATCAGAGTTTAAAGTGACAGAATCTCCCTCCATCACTGACACTGACTGTATTTCATTTGTATCTGCCCCAAACACACCTGAAGAACACGAAGAGAGGCAGATTAAGGCTCATGTTGTTTTGCAAAGCCAGAAATCAACTGTGTATTGAAATGTTTAACCCAAAAAAGGGCAAAACCATAAAGAGACACCAGAAAATTAATTTATTTCTATTTTGAGTCTTATTGGGACTCAAATAATATAATATAATTTCTTCTTTTTTTTTGTCTTTCTCAAAACTTGACACTTATTTTAGATTTTA